TCTATTTAAGGGACTTTCAAATGAAAGGTAAATGATCTTTACAGGTATCGTTCTTCATGACTACGAGATCTAGAAGGCGACGTCGTTCTCTTCGAGCTGCCTCTTTTGAAGACTACAAGGACCTGGCTTTGGCTTCTGGAGGCCAGGCCATCCAAGTGTCTAAAAATCAGTTGCCTCAGGCCACAGACATCATCCTTGACACCTCAACTTCAGCTCTGGTGGGCTTTGCAGTTCTGCAAACACATTCTGCAGTAACTAGCAGAGATTTTCTGCTTAGAAAAGTGTAAAAAAAAAAAAATGTATTTCATCTTTTTTCTCTTCCTAATCTCCATCAGGTGACAATTCTTCAGCGAGCAAGAAATCCTGGGAAACAGGAGACTTTCTCTTTTATGTTGGATGAATCTCTTAAAAATATCACTTTCTACATAACAGGAACATCCATTACTTTCACGTTGACTAACCCTGCAGGTAACACATTGTTTCCAATGGTATTTCTACAGTGGAAATATTTAGCATCTCTTTTTCATGCTAGAAATGTCAGTGTATTGTAATACCATTTAATGAGTATAAATGCACCATTACATTTTCCAGGTGTAAGCCAGAGCCATAATGAGGCCAATGGTAAACTGGGAACCATTCAGACCGTGGGTAACTTGAGAAGAATTCGTCTTAATGCTGACAAACATACAGGAGCCTGGCAGATCAACATCAACTCCAACCAACCATACACACTTAAAGTCACAGGTCAGGCACTTTATATTTCTCTTCATACAATATCCTTTCTGTGTAAATATCATTTGCATATTAAATGATATATTGTCACTTCATAGGGGGGTTTGCTCATGCCAAGAGATAGATATAAAGACACTCTCATGTCTATCTACACATAAGCCTACTTTAGTCATTTTTAGTTTAGAATAACATAGCATAGCATGACCTGACCTGACGGATTGTGGTGGATGAAGGAGATGATCTGGCTTTGTCCATTGGGACTGACTGTTCCATTACCAGTATAAAGTTTATGTAAGTTATTCAAAGTAGTCCAGCAAATTACCTCCATGAAAATCCAGATTGTTGTTTTTTTCTCTCTCTTGGTTTTTCTGCAAATTAATCAAACAAGGTAAAACATTTTAAAAAGTGAAGCTGAAGATGTGTGTGTTTGCTATTTTTCAAATGCAGGAAAGAAAGCTGTTTCCCCCTCCTTCCTGTCTTTGTACTAGAATAAGATAACCGTATGCAAGAGTACTGTTTATGTTCTCTTCTAACTTTTATCCAAAAAGCACAGAATCATTCCCAAAAGGTGAAATTCTTCCTGGAGAAATCTGACCTCATTCAGCACCCTTTGGTCCAATCAAACTGAACACTAATGTATTCTTTATGCTGTTAGTATAACCTTATTTTGTTTTCATTAAGGAAAATCTCACAAAGTTCTCTTCATGTGTCTCTCTTTAACTGTGTTTAATTGTACCTCCAGGCCAGAGCACCATTACCTTCATCTATGACTTTGTGGAAAGTTTCAAGGGACCTCACCCAGGTTATGCAGTACTCAGTGGGCGTCCACAAGCAGGTACACTTGGCAGTTTTACCCAACAGTAGTATATCATTAACTGTAAAAATGTACAGGCATATTCAAATGATGTTTTGCAAAGAGAGTTGGTGGAAAGATTTTGAATACTTATCTACTGTATTATCCGTGAATCACTTTCAGTGAAACATTAACTTCCCTCTAACTTGATTTTTGTTTTTGCTTCTGGAAACCCAGGCCAGCCGGCTTCCCTTATGCTCTCAATAATGGGTAGGAAAGGTCCGTCCTCGTTGTCTGTTGGTGCTGTTGGCCTGGTGACTGTGTCTGGCCCTGAGACTGCAAGCAATGGCACAGCAACCGACATGGGCAACGGAGACATCTTGGTGACTGTTGTTGCAGTCCCTGAGGGGGAGTTTGTGATCAGTCTGAAAGGAACTGACAAGATATCAAAAAGTGAATTTCAGAGACAGTCCACCACCCAAATGTCTCTCTCCAGAGTGAATATCCAGGTTGGTACCTTCACCTCCCTTCTACAACTTGTGTCCTATTTAGGTTTTGTTGCTTTTAAAGTCTGTTTATGTACACATTTGCAATACAGTTTATTTTTTCTTTAGGTATAATAACCTGTTTTGTTCCCTTCTTCTTCTCTTCCATATACCTCAAGGCTGTGGTAGATAGCAGTGTGGAACCAGGAAAAGCCTTAGAGGTCCCCTTTAGTGTCAGGACCCAGGGTCCTGGTGGTATATACACCATCACAGCCAAAAATGACAGAGACATCCCCATGACCTACCCACCCAGGTGAGGGTGAAGACAAAAACAATTCCTTTGAAAATGTTCCTTGTCAACAGTGACTCATGTTCCTTATCAACAGTGACTCATGTTCCTTATCAACAGTGTAAAAAGTGCATCCCCACCCAACAGTGGGGGTCAAGAACAGGGTCAGACTCAAGGTGTTGCTTGCTTACAATCAAACATCTGTTACTTTCCATAACTATCATACATTTACGCTGTTTCTGTGAATGAAAAGGTTTGGAGATGAGAAAGCAAGCAGGGTTTTAACTTCTTTCTCTTACTCTTTTCAATGGTTACACTGCCATTTCTGTCCATTTTCAAAGTTTTGATTATCTTAAGAAATAATTTCTAAATTAATTGATGCCAGTTTTCCCTACCATTATATTAGGGGGTGGCCCGCTCCCCTTGAAGGTCAAGTAAATAAAAAAATTATATATATATATATATATATATATATATATATATATATAATTTTTTTGTGCCTTTATTGTAGAGATATGATAGTGGATAGAGTCGGAAATCAGAGAAAGAAGTCACTTAAGGATACCTTTCTGATAGAAAAGGACAGCTGTCATTAAAAGTAACACATGAACATCAAGATTCCTTCAAGTGTTTGTGTCGGCGTCCGCACCTCCCTACGCCCCCAAAGCTGTAAACCTAGGGGAAACACTGGATGTCATCTTGCTTTCTCAGTTTACCCCACATTTAAATTGTTGTTGTTAACAGATCATAAAACTGTGCCATATGGTCCAAGAACACACATTTTAGGAAGAATTGTTCTTTTTGCTAAACTCCCTCTAGGGTTACTGACACTCAACTGGACTCAAGATGGGACTGATGCCATAAAGTCCAACAGTGCCTTAAAATATGCCAAATGATCATTAAGTTATATAATATAGAATCTTTGAATTACTTGTATTAAAGTTAAATGGATTATCATGGTCTTATTTCCTGTAATCATTGAGTTTTTATTCTCCCTGACAGCCTCACCTTGACCACTGGACAATATGGTAATGGTACCTTGACCATTAAACCGGCTGCCAGCATTCCTTCAGGCACTGATGTTACTGTTACATTGGAAGCCAAATCTGGTGGTGACTCCAACTACGCAGTGTTGAAAATATCTGTAGTCACCAAGGTACCAGACACACCCTGGATTACAGAGTTGCATATTATTAAATTACTTATTTATTTATAATCCTCTAAAATGGCCCTAAAAAGGGTCCACAAGACACAAGCCATATACGTTTCAACATAAATTGCCCCAATGACTCATGCATTAATTTTGTCTTTTTTTTTTTCAGATTACAGATTTTGTTCCACCTCTGTGTCAAGTGGTTGGTGTGCTGGCTGATGATTGCCCTCATGATGTGTCTCAGTGTGGACCCTTCCAATGGCAGTTTTTGGCCAATCTAACAGATGGAAATGGCACAGGAATAGAAATAATTGCTCTGCAACAGGGCAATGGAAACCTAACCTACACTTCCTTGAGTAAACCTCTCGTTGTGGCGAACTACACAGCCTCCTGCTGTTCACAAATTGTTGAGTTTACAGCAGTAGATAAAGTTGGCAATGTGGGCAAGTGCTACCATTCAATTGAACGTTCTGCTGGCCCTCCTGCCTTATTCCTTTCTCTGCCACTTTGGTTGTGCCTTCTGGTATCTCCCCTCCTAGCAAGGCCTTGAAGGGCTTAGGCAAGTACATTGGAGTGTGAAAGTGATTGGTAATATAGTCAATATGTATAATATTCACTCAATTGTATCTCATTGTTAAACACTATTAGTGTTATAAACATAATTGACAATATCTATTGTTTGGTCCTCTCTTACAGCATTAAAAAAATGCACAATTTCTAGTCTCTGTTTTTTTGGTTCTTGAGGTGCTGAAGGGATGTGGTGTTTCGCAAGAAGCCAGAAACATTTGGGTACTTTTAAAGTTAATCAATCTATGCTGAACTTTTAGCAGCATACAGCTACGATGCTTGAGTTGTTGGCTAGCTACCAGCAGCCTACTAAGTATGTGAGTCTTAAAGGAAATCCACCATTCTGTAATGAAACCACTTCATTGTCAGCCAAGAACAGACAAAATATTCAACAGAAATATGTTCCTTTCGATTCAAAACAGTATGGCCCATGATCACAGCATCTCTTTTGGGTAAATGATTTGAAAGACATTTGTATGTATCATTTGTCTTCCATCAGTTGACCTAGAATTGCAGTGCGTCTTACAGTGTTTCATGTGACTTATCGAAATACATTACTTGATTGAATATCCCACAATCTGTAATTATAGGGATTTTTAAATAATCAACTTACTGCTGGAAGTGCTTAAGTAAGTATTTTTAGTTAAACGTTTAAGGACTTTTTGATTCAGCAGATGTCGCCCTTGAGCACCAGGATAAAACCAAAACAACTGGTGCTGCATTGTTGTGTTAGCATGCTAATGCTAGCACAATTTGCTCATATCTTCACACTGCATGTAAATTTACCTGAAATGACCGTGATCTAAAAACGCATACGTGACATTCAAATAACAAATAAATGCCCATTAAATGTTGGTTTAATTTTCACAGGAAAGGTGTATGTAGATTAAAGCAATCAAATCAATGATAATTCAACATTTGCAAAAAAAAATTGAAATGAGGTTTTGAGTAATTAAAGAACAAATCACTTTTTTAAAATTACAAAAACAAAAGGTTGAATTTCAGTTTAGGTCAGATTTTATTGTACATCGGTATTTTACAACACAGCTGTTGTTAAAAGTGTGCCCTAATGACTTCCTGCTTGTTGGACTTTATATCTGATAATAGATGTCGTCTTATGCATTCATTCAAAGCCACGTACATGTAAACAGACTCCATGTGCTCTATTGAAAAGACACTAGGTGTCTGGTATATAAACTGGCATTGTAACTGATCAATAAGAAAACCGAATTAAATCAGATTTTTTTTTTTCACACTGTACAGCAGTCAAAATTATTTACACTTCTAAAGTTATATCACAACACTTTGTACACTTGCAATATTCTGTTCATTCTTTTTTTGCGTCAAAAAATAGAAGAAAATGTTTGACAGCAAAATGTGCTACGACTCATGCGTTCAGCAGGTTTCACGAAGAACCCTTGTCCACAATGAATGTTTCTTCAACATCATAGAAGCTAGCTGGGGGTTAAAATGTGTGTGGAACAAGGTTGTTAGAAAAACCTGCAGTTATCATCTAATTACCAATACTTAAAAATATAAATAAATAAGGAAAGCATTAGGTTAACAATGGTTCTGATATTTAAAATGAAGGTAATAATTATTTTAACAAAATGACAAAGATAAAAGTTTTCCCTCTCCATTAAAACATCAAAAGAAAAAGCTCTTTCCATGCACACTAAGGGTTAAAAAGGCCATCCTTCTTTTACAATAGGGGTTACTGCACTGTGTGTTGGAGGAGGAGTGTGAAGAGAACCTTTCTGGCTCCACATAAAGACTGGTGTGAGGGAGAAACGGCTAGCGTTATGTTGTCAAAACCTGAAAAGGCATCCAGCACATTTGAAGCTCTACCATTAACAGTTGTTTTTTTTAATAAATCTAAACATACAAAGGACTACCATACTTCTTTTTTTTTTTTTAAGAATCAGCACAAATGTATATTTCCAGCCTTCTTGTAAAGCCAAAAGACTCCTCGCTTCACACTCCGTACGCAGACATGGCATTAACATTTAAGATCCCATCGAAATGTTCCCAAGAACTACTCTTTCATGACTTAAAACTATGAAAACAATGAAATAATAATGTAATCTGCTAACAGAAACTTCATATTTACTTTCACTTCAAAATAAAGCGGCATCAAAAAAACAGGATCTGTATGTAACAAGTCTAAAAATACAATTGTTACAATTTCAGTAATTAAATAAAAATACATAAAAAACTGTTTTCAGTGGATGCCCATCTCTCATTGGATTTTATGGACATTCTTCACATGCTTTTTCAGGTGGCCTGACTGCGAGAAGTTCTTTGGGCAGTGTGGACAGGAGTGTGGTTTCTCTCCCGTGTGAGTATATTTGTGCCTTTTCAAGTTATTGAGGTCTAAAAATCCTTTCCCACAGTATGGACACCAATGTCTCTTCTCCCCATTATGCCACCTCAAATGCATATTTAGTTCTGTCCTCCTTGCAAATTTTTTTTCACAGAGGTTGCAATGGAATGGTTTCTCTCCTGTGTGGATCCGGATGTGGGCTTCCACATCTCGCTTTGAGAAAAATCCCTTGTTGCAGACCTGGCAGACAAAAGGCTTGATCCCTGCCGTGCACTATCTGGAGGTGCTTGGTAAGGCCAAAACTGTAGACAAATCCCTTCCCGCACTGCTTGCAGATATGGATCCTACCATTGCGGTGCACTCGTCCATGCCGTTTTAGACCCTTTGAGTCTGGGAAGCGCTTTCCACAAAGTGTGCAGGAGAAAGGACGGCGACCAGCATGGAGACTGACGTGGCTCTCCAGAGCAGCATTGCTGCTGAGGACACGCCCACACTCCCCACACTGGTTCTTCAAGAGACGCCAACCAATGACTGATAAAGGCTGTAATGGTGATACAACAGCTGGTGCTTTGACAGGGATTGGATGGCGAGAAACACTGGGGGGGTAAACTAATGTCTGATCCTGGGATTCAGTCTCTAATTGCATTGACCTCTTTCTCAACGCTAAAGGGGTTTTACCGATTAGCAGTGTAGGAGGAGTCCACAAACCTTTAGCTGTACATTTCTTTACATTCTCTGTGCTAGCACTGTTCTCTGCTAACTGGCTTGTTTTGGCTCCATTTAGTAGATTAGATTGATTTTCTATTTTAGCTACTGTTTTGTCTTTTGGAGAATTCTTCAAATTGACCCCTCTTAAATTATTCTTTGGACAAGGAACTTGAGCTAATTTGGGTTTCTTGGCAGGTGTGGATTCCCCAGTCTTACTAGAACTAAAACCCTCAGCCAATTTAGTCCTTCCAACATTTTGGAGATTAGTTCTACTTTTAGCATTTCTAGAGGAAGCACCATCATTGGTAGGTATTTTAGGGCTAGAATCATTTTTACCTAAACCAGATGTCCCAGGACGAGTAGAAAACGATCTAGTCCTTTTAGGGGTTTCAGCAGGAGAACCAACTGTTTTTTTACTTTTTGGGCTAGGACCATCTCCAGTTGAACTAGTCCTCCTGGGATGCACATAAGTGGTTTTGATCTTCTTGGGACTAGTGATTTCTTTAGTTGAACAAGTCCTTCTAGGATTAACAGGCGTTATTTTTGTCTTTTTAGGGGTAGAACATTGTTTAGTTGAACTAGACCTCCTAGGACTAACTGAAATGTTTTTGGTCTGTTTAGGGATAGCATTTGGTTTGGTTGAATTAGACATCCTAGGACTAACAGAAGTGTTTCTGATCTTTTTTAGGAATAGCACTTGGTTTGGTTGAATTAAACCTTCTAGGACTAACAGAAGTGATTCTGGTCTTTTTAGGGGAAGCACTTGGTTTGGTTGAATTAGACCTCCTAGGACTAACAGAAGTGTTTCTGGTCTTTTTAGGGGAAGCACTTTCTACAGTTGAGTTAGACGTCCGAGGACTCACAGAAGAGGTCTTTGTATGTTTTGAATCAATGCAATCTCTGCCTGAATTTGAGCTGTTGGAATTCACAGGCATGGATTCACCAGTGGCTTTGAACCTTCTTGAGCTGACAGGGGAAAGACCCCTTAGAGATCTCTTGGAACTTGCACTGTTTTTACATATACCAGATCTCCTTGTAGTGATAGGAGAGGGATCACTGATTGTCTTTTTAGGAGAGGTTACATCCAAAACCGTTCCTTGTTCTTTGGGACTAAGAGGAATGGGTTCAATGGCTGTGCTTGTGTCCTCTGGACTGTCTTCTTCTAATTTAGCGTCGTTAGAGCATCTAGTGAGAGTCTCTGTTTCCGTACATGACTCCTGACTTGTCTCTGAGTTTCCAGCCTGAATGTGAGTTTTGAGGTGATGTCTGAGATTGGCCACAAGGACGTCTTTTTGTAACAGTTTTTTGTCACTGGTGCTGGTTGTAGGACAGGAACTGTTGGTATCTACAGAGTCATTGGTGGGGGGCTATGACAAAAGAAAGGAGAAAAAAAGTCAGCAAAAAATGCAAAAAGAGCAGTCACAATTATTTGCAGGGATTCCAGTGCAGTAGAAAAAGGTACCAACATCTTTTTTTCAGAAATATGAAAATTATACATGGCACTATAACAAACTACAATAATATTGCCTCGTATTTTTCCCCAAATTATGAACTTGTGTTATTTTGTTGTGTCACAGAAAGTGTACCTTTTTAATTTTTATAAATAAAAAGTAAAGCGATTTGGAACGTGGGTGATTTTGTATAAAATAGCCCGTGGTGTACATTTATCTCAAAAAGCGGAATAAAAAATGGATCTGTTATTGCCCTGGATAGTATTTCATATGAATATTATATTACAGGCATATTGTATAGTAAACAATGCAAAAACAAACAAAATGTAATCCCATAACAATAATATAGCTAAATAGATTGAGATTTGCGAAGTACTAACTTACCTGTTTTGGGTCTTGCACAATCGGTGATACAGCTAATTGGGCCAAGAACTGTCTTTTAGTCATCTGTAAATGAGGGTCAGATGGGTCCTTGGGTTTGATGGACCTCAGATGAATGACAGCAGGTGACTGTTCTATAGCAGGGTCACTGGGTGATGTACAGTCCGGCACTACCATGCTTATGATTTCTTTTTGCAACTTTGAAGTTGTCTGTTCTGGGGACTCTTCAGGTAAAGCTGAAGGCTCAATAGTGTTAATGATTATTGTTGATTTTGAAAGGACTGATGCTGACACCCTGGATGATGTAGATGATTCATCCAAACCAGTGGCTGTTCCAGAGCGTAATGGTAACTCTCTTGAACATTGTGTTGTGTTCCTGACATCTCAGGGGTTTTAAGAGAAAACAGAAGTTTCTTTAGAATTGGAACAAATGTCAGATGACACAGGTGTCTCTGATGGGTGAGTTGATAATGGACTGATGATGGTTTTCTTCTGTGCAACTTCTTCCTTCATTTCTAGCATCCTTGAGAGTAAAACTACATCTTCCTTGCCATTGGAAATGGAAGCCTGTTCAATCTGACGATAGCAGAGACCTTTTGTTCAACAGGCAATGGTAGCCCCAAAGACATATCTAAACTGGAACTGGTTTCTGAAGGTTCATTTGTTTGCATCAGCACAGGAGTCCGTTTGTTTGGAAGATTCCAGGTTGTCAGAAGTATTAGTCTGCTTTGTAGACAATATCGTGGCAACTTTATCCAGGATGGTTTGCACTTCACCAGACATGCTGAGCTCCTGTGGCATCAGCTGTGGCAATTCCCTTTTTTGCAAGAGCCATTTTCTGTTTCCTTAGTGCCACAGCTGACAACTGTCTTGGAATTACAATTGTTATTTTAGGATGTGAAAGAGACTGTAAGTCAGTCTGAGGAGGAGTCGACTGGGAAGTGTCGACAGGAAGCGATTTCTGTTGTTTAACAGAGGAAATTGAAGGTTTTTCAAGAGGTTTGTCTAATGGAGTCGAGCTTGGTTGTTCACTTTTATTTTGGGCAGAATGGACTGTTGACACATCAGTTGAAAGCTTGGTTGGAGACTTTGCTGCAAATTTACTAGATGTCATTGAAGCTAATGATCCTGACATGACAAATATTTTTTTAGGTACAGCATTCTCCTGTTTGCTGTGTGCTAATGGTTTTATTGGGTCATTTGAAGGGCTCTGTTTAAGGGACTTCACAATAGTTTGTGTTGCAGCAGCTGAAGTGGCTATTGAAGATTTAGCAGTGTTGGATAGTGAGACCATATGCTGTTTCAGCATGACAACCTTTTTGTGGGCCAGAACTTCATCAGTTGTAGTAGTTTGAAGATCAACTGGTTGTGTCCCTGACTCAGCTGGTACCTCCCTCACAGTTTGCAAGGTTTTGACTGCCATTATTTGTGGGGAATCAAGTTCCTTTTCCCCTGTTGACTGATTCATGGCTTCAACTAATAGCATTGCATCCTGAAGAGTTACAGAGGTGTGGCGTTGTCTTGACTGAACCGATGGTACTTGTGGTGACTTAGTTGTTCGAGTGTTTTGCATTTTAATGGTAGAAGAAACAGCAGTGGATGGAGCCTGAATTGTCCCATCTTCCATAAATATTTTTTTCATTTCTTTCTTCTGTTCAGAAGATGGTGGAAGTATTCTTTTCACTGGCCGTTTCAAATGCTTTGCTTTCTTTGGTGGCCTTCCTCTTCTTCGTCGTACTGGTATGTCAGGCTGGATACTAGCCTCTTCTTCTGCCACAACCTTTTTTAATTCTTCTCCTTTGTTGGGTGCTGTGGGTTTTGGTGTGGATGAGATGTGTTGAGAAGGCTCTTGTTCAGATGACTGTTTGTGGACAACTGCTAAACTTCCAACCATTCGTAAATGGGGCAATCCTAGGGCCACTCCAGTCTCTTCATTTCTTTGAGGGGATATTTCTGCAGTTGAACATTCCTTGTTAATGGACCGCCCTCCATTTTCAGTTACACAAGCAGAGACCAATGGGGAACCTAAGCACAACAGTAATAGCTAAATCAATGGGGTAATGTCAATATAAAATATTGCCAGGAGAAGTGACAAATAGGCCTTACCAAATTCTCAAATTTAACTTTTGATTCCTCACCTTTAACGTTTCTGAAGACTTGCCCGAAGGATCCAATGGGCTCAACTTCCTTTTGCTTGAAATCAAACTGCTGAGGAAAATTATGACAACCGTGTAGAGGTAAGAAAAATGTTTTATTACAAATCCCCCAACATGGATTTGTTTCTGCTTTAGATACTTACGCACCTGCAGCTGTTTCTTAGGTAAAAGGGCAATCAGAGAATCTCTCTTTCCACGATTCTCGTAGTTGTGCTCCTGCCAAACGTCTTGCGTTGTAACATTTGCACATAGTTGCTCTTGATTTTGCATTGATGATGGTGTCAATGGTTCACACTGCTCCACCAGCATCGTACAGAAAGGAACAAGATCTGTAAAAAAAATAAAAAAAATAAATAAGTGGTTATTTTAAGACTAAGGTCTTTAAAACTTGAAACAATTCAAATGTTTTCCCTGATTTGATTCTGTCTAAAAAAGAACCATCTTTTTCGAGTGATGCCAAGATTGAAAAGCGGCACCTGACACGGCACATGAAAGTGCATGTACCACTAATATTTAACTCCATAATCGCCAATCTTCCCCAACCATGATTAATATGTACAATATACCAGTGGTCTTTCATTACAACATTTACTGCAGTAAATTTGTAGTAATGTCTTAATTTATGTTGACAACGTGAGTTAAAGTATTGAATGATTTAATACTATAAATACATATAATATTTATAATGTCCCCTTTTCATGTAGGCTATATTGAACAATTGTCTCCTATAAAGCCAACACTGTGATAGCCTTCAATAGTTCCTTGCAGTGGAACTATTTAAGGTGTAATCAATATGCAGTCCAATATCTACACCAGTCATAAATATGCCGGTAAAGACAGTTAATGCTGTGTTGACGCCAAAATAATAAAAGTTTAAAGTAGTGGGATCACACTTTCTGATATTGATTAATCTGACTGACACTCTGATCGGAGGCTAGGCTAACCTTGTTAGCTGTAATTAGCTGGGTACGGTTTCCCTCCTACTTGGCATCATGCACTTAAGCTAAACTAGGCTACGCTAGCTTGAATTTTTTAAGTATAAATATGTATAAATCAACACGAGGAGTTCCTAAAAATCTTAAATTGAACACTATTACAAAGAATACATTGTATTAACCATCAAACGTGATGCTAGACGATATAGATGTGACATTGGTTGAGATGAGCTCCTGAGGAGTGACAGGCATGTGAACTCACCACATTGAACAGCTGTGTCACGTTTGTCAGAGCCTCTGCTTTGCCCCGGAACAGACTCACTCTCTCTCATAGTAGTTGTTTTGCTCCTCGCATTTTCAAATTGGCTACATCTTCTTTTGAGGTCCTCATTCTCCGTCTTGATTTTGGATATTTCTGCCTTCAGGTCGTCGACCATAGTTTCGAAAAGTTTGGTAGTCTCCGCGATAGCACTCTTTAGCATGCTCTCCATGACTGACGAGTACTTCGTCTGAAAATCGTCCGAAGACATGTTTGGTGTCGTATTTAGTTCGCCGTTTGTCCAAGTGTAGCTACGAATCCACGTTGACAATTCAAGAGCTGAAAATTATACAAACACAGTGTTGGGATTTATTCCAACATGGCGTCTTCCCTCCAACGAGGTGTGTGACGCACGTTGGTGACAGGAGGGGCTAGAGAACAATATCCGCTGATCCAAACTGAAAACTGTTAAATATATACTGGTCTTGATTAAATAAATTAATAACCACTCAAGATTAGTAGAAGCCCGATACTTTGATAAGGCGCGTTGTTCAACAACCTCAATTCAGGCGGAAACGTTCTTCTTCTTCTTCTTCTTTTTATTTTTATTCTTCTTCGTCTACGTTTATGGCGGATAGCAAACCAATGATTAAATGCAAATATCGCCACCTACTGTCCCGGTGTGTGTAAGTGCAGGGCCTCACGTTCTTCTTCTGGTTCCATAAGATTGTCCTTTCTCCCGACCTGTATTTTAAATCTCGGAAGTGCGGTTGTTTACTATAGGAAATGCGATGGCTCATCTGAAACCAGTTTTTGAAGTTACAGCTTAGCGGCTGAATAAAGGTTTGATACTAAATCAATATTGAACTCAACATATCCTGTAAGCATGTTAAACGGTAATATAATGTTTGAATAACTACTTAACACGTGGTGGGGATGTGTAACGTTAACACCAGATACAAAACTGGTGTACTAAGCTAGTAAGCTAACGTCGACAATGGAGCCCACCGTACCGTGTTATTAATAATGCGATGGAAGTAACCAATCGGTAAATGTGGGGCAACCAATTTATATCCACATCTGTTTAAAGTCATAAACCCTTCACCACTAACTGGATCAATATTAGCTGTGACGGATACATGCTACTCATGTGAAGTGGACGTCGAGTGGTACACCCTCCTCAGTTTACTGAAAGAAACACAAACTCTCCTGACTTTTCACACACTTTTGGCACAATGGCCGAGACTATAGCTACGTTTCAGTCCCAACTTTCGGGGGTCATGGAAACAGTCTTCAAAGCTGCCATGTATGAGATTACCCGGCTGGTGGAGGACAGTTTTCTGGAAGAGGTGACCCGGTGCAGGGACCAGGTGGAGACCCTGAAGAGGAGACTGAAGTGGTCGGAGAGTCGACGTAAGGAAAGGGAGGGAGACATGAGGGCGAGATGTAGTGACTGTGGCAGGGCCGGGGCTTCTCATGAGGAAGAACCAAGAGCGACAGGTGAGCCTGTAGAACGTGTTTGAATACTTCTTTAAGCAACATTTCAGATTTACAATGAATGAAAGTGATCTGTGTAATACGACAGTGACCAACCTTAAATAAGACTTTTTGGACTTCTTTGTTTTAATCTCTGTTACAGTTTTCACTCCCTGAATGTATCTGTCCACTGTGATCACAAGGTAGTCGCTATAGACTAGGTCTTTAGCTGAATGGTGATACTCGACATCAATGTATTTTATTAACAGTGAAAACACATGGAAAATAAACTACCTGTTTGTGAATTTAAAAAGTAATATTATAAAATAAAAATGTTCCTTAAATACAATAAAAGAGAGAGAGACAGAGAGAGAGAGGAGGAGCAGGGTGAAGAGGGACAGACAGTCAGTCATCATCAGTGAGATGAGAATAAGGTGACCTGGCACCTCTATAATGTTATTTTAATGCAACATAAACTATATCCATATTAACGATGTTGTCTTACTCTATATCTTATTTGAAAATATATCGATATATCTTAAAAACTCTATATATTTCCCAGCCCTACTATAGGCTACTGTGTGATGAGTAAGATTTGAACAGACTCCTGCTGTTACTAAAGAAGGCTTTCTGAGACAGTTAGAGAGAACATTAACAGTAAAGCTGAGGGTTAAATTAAAGAGCCAAAGCAAGTTTAGAAGAGCTGCATATGGCTTTTTCTGTTCCTTCCCTATTGAACATTTATTCACCTAATTCACAGGCACTTCAAGTTATATTTAAAGACTTCGGTCATGATGTCTTACAGAGTGCTCCACCATTACAATTTATGACCTGCTTGTGTATGTGCCATATAAAATCTGTTAAAGAAATAGGAGTAACCATGCTCTCCAAGTAAAACAAGCAAAAAAAACCAAAACAAAATATTTTCCTATCCTCTACAGAAAAGTGTCTTAAACAGGAGAGTGTGCTGCAAGAGGAGACAAATGGCTCCACAGGCAATGATGGTGAGATACCTTATCATGAAGCAGAAGAGGCACACGATGCAATGAAGACTAAACAGGTAGAAGACGCTTTATTGCTATTTTTTAATTACAGTAAATCATTTCAAATTTTTTCAATGTGGATTGAAAGAAAAAAAGAGTCAGTTTCGTTGTTACACTCTTCCCATGAGTGAAATACTGTATACTCTCTCTCTCCCTCTCTGTCCCTCTCTCTCTCTCTCTCCCTCTCTCTCTGTCTCTCTCTCTGTCTCTCTCCCCCTCCCTCTCTCTCTGTCCCTCTCTCTCTCTCTGTCTCTCTCCATCTCTCTCTCTCTCCTCTCTCTCTCTCTGTCTCCCTCCCTCTCTCCCTCTCTCTCTCTCTCTCTCCCTCTCTCTCTGTCTCCCTCCCTCTCTCTCTCTCTCCCTCTCTCTCTGTCTCTCTCCCCTCCCTCTCTCTCTGTCCCTCTCTCTCTGTCCCTCTCTCTCTCCCTCTCTCTCTCTCTGTCTCCCTCCCTCTCTCTCTCTCTCTCTCCCCCTCTCTCTGTCTCTCTCTCTGTCTTTCTCTCTCTCTCTCTCTCCCTCTCTCTCTCTCTGTCCCCTCTCTCTCTCTCCCTCTCTCTCTCTCTCCTCCCTCTCTCTCTCTCTCTCTCTCTCTCCCTCTCTCTCTCTCTCTCTCCCTCCCTCTCTCTCTCTCTCTCTCTCCCTCTCTCTTTTATGAGCAGACACCATCATGTCCACACTTTTATATGGTTTTGAGTTTTGTTCTCACATATCTTGACTTTTAAACGTGGATACAGGGTATATATATTTGAACATTTGAACAAAGTATTGAATAAGACTTGCCTGTTGATCTATTGAGAAGTTTTAATTTTTCTTAATGAAAGCAAAGCCAGACTTTTTAACATTTTGTCTTTTTTTTTTGTCTGCCAGTCCCCAGATGAAAAGCTTGATAGACTGCTCAAGGAGGAAACTCTTCAAATCTCACCAGAAACGAATGAGTCACAGGAGAAATGGGGAGTCAATGTGGAGGGTCAGTATGGTCTTATATGCAGATAGAATCATAAACACATGAATTCATAATGGTCTTGGTTTTCAGTCCTTTCAGTGTAAAGATAGTAGCCTTTACAGTGCTGGTTTATTGTAATATTATTGATCACATGATACACACTCAAAACTGCCTTAAATGTCTTTAATTTCAAGGATCAAATCATTATTTTGTCATTGTTGCATAGCCATTCAAACCAAAAAGTTGAAATGTTTGCCCTCTCCCAAACAGAGGCATCAGGTCAGCCGGGGCCCAGTAAGCGTTTCAGTGACCAGAAGATCCCAAAGTGCCATGACAACTGGGATGCTGGCTTTGATCAGAGGCCAGAATCAGGCCAAGACGGACACTCGGGTGACCCATGTCAATCTGTTTTTCAGAGCAGGTATGGAATGGAAGACTTGGGTGGTTATGACAAGACTGGCTATGGAGGCACGGATATGATTGATATGGGTAACCTGGAGGGGTTACATGGATCACCATCCCAACTGGGTGATGATATGGGTTACATTGGGAACTATGAGGGGTGTGTGGAAGCACCAGAAGCAGCTGAGAATCAAGTTTACCAAGCAGGCGCTCCTCGGAGTAGAAGGGGCCTGGTTGGTCCCTCTGCAGTTTCACCCTCGAGGACTAACAATGAAGTGAGCGGTGAGTTCAGCTGTCTGTTGATCAATGAAGAAGGGTATCTACAGGACCCAAGTATCTTGTACCCTGAGCAGGTGTCTGGTGACCCGGGTGGAAGGTTGAGCCTCCGGGGCCATGGTATTAGCGTTAATCCGTCCATAGACAGCACAGAAGATATGTATGGGCCCTCTGATGGATACAATGATACCTTTGTCCTGGCGGAGAGATTGCAACATCAGCAGGGAGGCAGAAGAGGCAAGAGACTCACCTGTAATCAATGCTCAATGTCCTTCCCTGATTTGTCCTCGTTAAAAACCCACAAGCAGTCACACAAGAGTACCGGACAAGTAGCACCGTACTCCTGCACACAGTGCGGTAAGACCTTCACCCAAGCCTGTAACCTCAAAGTCCACCAGAGGATTCACTCGGGGCAGGGTCTCCACCTCTGCAGTCACTGCGGGAAAGGTTTCCCTTCTTTCTCTGACCTGAAGACACACAAGTGTGGCCAGACGGGCGAGAAACCGTACTGCTGCAACGTGTGTGGGAACAAGTTCAGTCGGCTCTGGAATCTAAAGTTGCACAGGAGAATTCATACGCAGGAGAAACCTCATCGGTGCACCATGTGCGATAAGAGCTTCACACGGGCTGACATACTAAAGGTTCACCAGCGGACCCACACTGGAGAACGACCGTACTGCTGTGCTGTCTGTGGCCTCAGCTTTAAACGCCTGGATCATCTGAAGTCCCATCAACGCAAACACATGACCGATCTTTAAAGCTTGGGAGAAAGTTTCAATGAATACATTTAAACATTCAACAAAAACACCCAAAGTTTTATATTTTTTCTTTTCTTCTACTCACAGTCCTTTTGTTTTCAGGATGGCTATAACATACATGTTTATCATGTCTGCACACATATATTGCTGCATATTTTGTCACTGAAGAATGACTTGTGTAACTTTTTTACCTGTGATGACATCACAGATTCAACACTTTGTTAGTGAACCACCTACAAAATAATCCATCTTTGTCCTGGAGTTTATTATGAAATAAATTGTTTGTCATTAAACATGCAATGGATGAACTTTTTTTCTTTACATCAGGACCAAACGTGTATCGTCCAACTAACAATCGAGCAGCACACAGTGAGTGTGTAGATGTTTTTGAGAGTATCTAAGTTCAACTGTAAAGTATACGATGCAAATGGACAAACGAGGGTGTTGCTTTTACTTCAAAAAAAAAAAAATGCTGGAATTCTGCAATGTAAAAGCCTGACTCACTAATAAACATCACAGTTGTCAAGGATGTGTTGAAGCTCCCAAAAAAAAACAAGTTGAATGTGTCATTCTGGGTTTGAACCTCTTTAGGACCAATGGGGCGACTGGTGTTTGTAATTTCTCCTGACAGTTCTTAATAAAATATTTCATATCAAC